GTAGTAGTACTAGTACTATTAGTAGTAATAGTAGTAGTTAATAAAAATTCGTAATAGTTAATAGTAGTTAGTAGTAGTTAGTAGTAATGAGTAGTAGTTAGCAGAAGTTGGTAATTATAATAATTAGCAATAATTGACAATAGTAGCTGCAGTAGTAGTAGTAGTAGTAGCAGTAGTAGTAGTAGTAGTAGTAGTAGTACTAGTAGTAGTACTAGTAGTAGTACTAGTACTAGTAGTAGTACTTGTACTAGTACTAGTACTAGTAGTAGTAGTAGTAGTAGTAGTACAAGTAGTTGCCGCGTAGCCTTCCGCAATAACTTTCGCAAAAATCTATTTAGCGGACCCATCGCGGAACTTTCGCGATGGCATTTATGTTATGCCCCTGGTCGTTTTGTATGAATACAGCGACAAGGACCTTTAGATCAATGCCCACATGTGATCCCGACCCTGTCCGGCAGATGTGGGCGCGGGGCAGACGAGAGTTCTTGTCACAAGAATTCAGGGGCAAGCATGCAATCCGACCAAAGTTCCTAGCCCAAGCCACCTGAGCAAACTATGCAACTCGAGCCTGTTGATAACGTTGCAACTCCAGGAGGTATTGCTCATACCTAAGCGGCAGACTCCAAAGGAAAGGTACGTAGGACAGGTACGAGTGCCAGGTGAGATCTGAAAAAAGGTCCAGCCACCGAAAGTTTCCGTTTTCTTGCTTTTACGGAAACTTTCTTCGAGACTCCGGTGCTAGGATGTGCGAACAATGTTTCAATACTGCTAACACTTCTCATGTACCTTGCTCTCGACACCACCATGACCATCCCGTCTGCCCGATTGGCAGAAAAGCCAGATTGCCTGTCCGAGTTGCATTTGCTGCTCCTGGAAGTATTCTGCAGCCCGAACCTGAGCTGTGTTCACCTGATGCGGGAGCATTTAATTCCCAGCAAACGCACACGGTTCCTCCAGCACCACACAGAAACCCGAACTGCACGTGCACAAGTCACACCGGACGAGTAGAAAAAGAAACAACGAGGTTGGGACCATGTCTGCCATGCTACGGGCCTCTCCTGTAGCTTTCACATATTATGACAAGTCGTCTCAGGTGCCAGTGCTGCACTGCGTCTGATCTCTTCTCCAGCAGGTTGCTATCGAATGTTCACGACTAGCCTAGCAAATCAACCAGCTCTTCATAGGCCCCATGGCCTCGAACTGGCCCGGAGGGCCCACTCCCCGAAGTGCCTCCACCCAGGGTACTGCGGAGTCGTCCTGGCTCTGTCTGAACGCTGGGTCTGCTGGACAAGCCAAGCTGCTTCCCTCTGAATGCTGAAGCGGCGCTCACGTTGGAGCTGTCAGCCCGCAGGCGTCAAAGCCGCTTCCCCATTATGGTTAAGAGAATCAGAAGCCGGGATGCAAGGACGCCCTTCGGCCCCTTGTACTGAAAACACTGCTCTTCCCGACACACACCTGCCTGACGGAACTTCGCTGCCTGCCATGCGCATTTGAGAAACGCAAGGGTTCTGATGTCGAGCGCAGGTCTGCAGAAGTATCGTGCATAGGATACACGACTGTCTCCTCGCTACCCTTGAAACCGCGGCCAGAAATACGATACATTTACACGTTCCTCAAAGTTGATGGATCCTGAACTGCAAAAACATTCCAAGAAGCTTTCGAGCTCTCTTGTGAAAGGCTTTGTCAATCGCCAGGATCATAAGTTAGTTGCTTCATGAATGTACCAATCTAAATTTAGAGAACGTCCGAACACTTGCAAACACATTTGGACATCAACCGCGCCACTTGCGCATGCGAAGTGTGATTCCCCATCGTAACCCACTGGCGATGCCCTTTGTCAATGCATAAATCACAGCCTCTGCGGCCCAGCGAATTTGCGAATGGACATGGTCCTCCCATGCCTTGCGCAGTGCTCGCAGATTGCAGCTCACAGATTTAGACTCCGGAGCAACTCTCCAAGTTTCAGAGGGCAGCTTCATTGATGAAGGATGCAAAAAGGCCTCACCTGAATTCTGGAAACTATACAACAAATAATAAACAAATACTAGCATCTCACAGTACCCAGCTAAAACCATCGCAATCTGTGCTGCTACCTCCCGTGATCACTGCACCACCCTTTTGCCACACGCACAGGGCAAGCCAGAACCCCATACATGGCCAATCGTCCCTTAAATCAAACCTCAACTGCAGACCCAGGCAGAAATTTTACTGCTTCCAAGGTTTCGACAGTGTCCTCCTCTATTCCGCCATTGCTGCCGACCTGCTTTTCTTCAAATCAGAGCTGCAGGAAGAGGGACAAAGAGAGAGAGAGAGAGAGAGAGGGGGCATGACCGAGCCAGAGAAATGCAAATAAAGGAGCTGTGAAAGGTTGGTTTTGCAACCGGCTGAATGACCTAACACAAACGCAAATTCGTCTGCCTCTGCCGAAAACGTTCTGCTTCATGTCACTGGCAAATTAGTGTTGCAAGTTTGCAAAAGTCCAGAACCTCAGACTGAGAAGACGAGGGCGTTCCAGTCGTCACCGACCTGTCAGTTGAACATGTCACAGAATCGCAACAACACCCAATGCTTTGGCAACGTCTCATTCCTCATGCATTGATGGTTCTCAGGCGCGGACGTCACGGAAAGCTGCGGGCTTGCTTGTGGCACCCCCGCAGCCGCCGGTGTCTCAGCATACTTTTCCTGGACAGCTGGCTCCCCCCCGGAAATGAAACACATTTAGCTTGAGGAACACTTTCTTGCAAAGCCTGTCATGAAACCTCTCGATCCCACGCCCTGGCAATGGCCTCTGCAGCCCGCCGCTGCACTGCGGCCTTGGGACCGGCTCGGGCAAGGAAACTAACGACGAGCCCGAGTCTGAGATGGACATGAAGCTCAGAACAGTCCGCCTTCAGGGCCTCCAATGCCCGCTCATGCAGCTCCTGCAGTCCAGCGGGTGCACTCGCCTTTTTTTTGCACTGGGAAGGGCAGTGGGCTCACCAGAGCGATGCACACATTTTAGCCACAACTCTGACCCACACTCTATGATGTCATGCAGTCCTCGCGCCGCTCTGCCTCAAGCTCTGAGGGAGCTGCCTCTTGCACCACCTCACAAGCAACTTGGCTCTAACAGCGAGCCACTGCGCTAACAGAGTTCATGGAATCTCCAGAAACTCATTCAAAGGCTACCTGCCCAAGTCGGCGAAAGGTGTTGAAGCCCAGGACGGCGTTGATGTGTTCCTCGTTGCAAGTCGCTGCATTATCGATCTTTGGAATGCCAAGGCCCAAATCCTCAAGGCAGTCTTCCCTGATCCTTCTTGGCCCTGCCCTACCTGGAGCGAGCAATATAACTACTTCGTTAACAACCCAGCGCATCTGAACTCGAAGACTAAGGCCTTAAAGCCTGAACCGTAAAGCTTAACCGGCTTAACCTCCCCCCCAACGGGGCTACAGTCCTGCACAGACTCGGGCTTTGCCTGACGTCAGAGGACACTCAATCAAACCATGGGCCTAAAACTTGAATTCAATCAGAATTTTTCACGCACGGGCCCGGGAAGCAGATTCACACCAGTGTGCCTCTAAAATCTCCAAGCACCGTGGTTCCGACGGGTCATCCAACGGTGAGGCGACCTTGAAATTCTGTTTCCTTTTCGGCTTTGCAACACATGCTGGTAGGACATCCACCTTGCTGCAACAGAGGCGGCTCTGAGCCAAGGACGCTTGATTCCAGGTCGCTGGCAAGGATCGGAACACTGTCGAACTTGTCTGTCCATAGTTCCTGGAAGCTCGCCATAGCCACGAGCTATTTGAAACGGCTTGATTTCAGAACCACAGACATCCAGACATCAGCATCGCCCGCCTCGGGGCCGGAGATGTCGATCAGCGGGGGCGGGTATGGCCCCAACCGAAGCATGCCCTAGGCCGTCAGGACGAGAGCTCTACGCGTCGTGCACTCGGATGCCAAACAAACCAAGATACAAGGACTACATCCCAGTCACCCGCAGTCCTTTGCAAGAGCCCTGCGGGCCCGTGCTCGCATCCAAGTGGCCGTTGCACGTCTAGTGGGCTCAACTCCCGCGCCCCCCCTCCGCCCCTTTTGGCCAACGAGTTTTCGTCTAACTCTGAGCCGAAAAGCAAAGATGAACATGATGCCCTGACACGTGCCTGTCCACGGTGGTCACGGGTCGAATGCAGTTGCGTGCAGAAGCACAACTGAGAGCCTCGGCCTGCTGGCGCTTCAAATTCCGCACCCGTCTACCACGAGCCATTGTACTCATGCTCCCATGCTAGGCAGCCATCTGTTGGCACCACCGCAGCAATTCATCCAGCTGTTATGTAAAACAGCAAGCCCCCACAACTCGGCCTGCCAGCCATTGTCTGTCCATCGTCGGCGCTGTCACATGCAATGCCCTGGCTAGACACCATGTGGTTCGAGGACATGCGGAGTTTTTGGCGCAAACGCATGGCAGGCTGCAAAGTGCTTCCAGCCAAAGCATCAAGCGACATCCATATCCTTCCAGCATCTCTAACTCCAAAGCCGAAATGAAACAGGTTCTGAAGCCCTTTCGGCTTTCCCTGAGCTGGCGCCTCAAGTCCGTCGAAAGAGCTGGCATGAACCTTGCGACTGTCAGCGGGGCTCAGGCGGGAAGAGGAAGATGTCTCGTCATCTCCGGCCTCCAGCGCCTCCTTCTGGTACTGATGCTGCCCTGGCCAGGGCCGAGATCAGATGTCAGCTGGTTGCCTCTGGCCTCTGGCCGTAGCATCACGACTACAACCAAAACCATGGGCTGGCACCGACTGCCGAAGCAGAACACACGTCAACCAAAAATCTCGATCGTTGCCAACTCCTCGAAGAGCAGAATCCCCAAACCTTTCCGACCAGGGCTGCCGGGCGGTCCAGGCCCAGCTTCTTCCAAGCCGCGGCTGCCTCCAAGATATTTCACTCCGTCACGAGTGGTGCGGAAGCATTGAGGTGCTCCGAGCATTTCTTTATTTAACTTTATGCACTGGCAGACCCTTAAGTTCCACGCCGCCGAGCTCAATCTCGCGCGGTTCGGCGCTAAGAGATGCAGCCTGGTACCAAGAAGTAACAAACTGGCGGTTTGGAAGGGCCGTCCGCCGATACGATCCTTTCATCTGACATTTGCTTGCTGCAGGACCCCTGCTGGGTAGCCCCACCCTGACTGCCGTATGAGCTCTGTCCTCTGCTCGCGGAAGAAACGGAGAAATCCCTGCCAAGGACCGTCACAACACAGATACCAGGGCTCTGCTGTGTAGTTTGGAGCGCAAGACACGCGTGATGCTTCGATGCTATGACATTTCAAAGCTAAATGAAACCATCTCATCTAGAATGTCCAAGCCGCATCCTGACGAGAATACCTTGGTGGTATGTGATTGCTGGCGAGCTATTCACAGGAGATGGTGTTGTGGGTGACTCAACATAATGCTTCTTTGGCGTGAAAACGTATCCGCGACACAAACCTCCACGGGAAACCCATCCAGCGCATCCTCCTCCAAGGGCGTTCAATCAGAAGCGATTGTCCAATGTTAGTGTTAAGAGATAAACCAACGTGTACAGGTTCGTGGGACAGCAGGCGTGTCTGTTATACGGGGAAACGCATCAGACGGCGTGCATCCACAACTGCTCCCAATTCGCACACTCCGCTTCAGCCGCACAGGCTTGCGGTCCTGCTGGCCGTGGCCGTGATCCTCCATTTCCACCTGCGAGAACTCACAATGAAATGCCTGGAAAGTTCACCGAAGCTAGCGCGGGCCCTGGCCTTGGAACCATGGGCAACAGGGCACGACTACAGACGAGTCAACTTCTGCTGAGCACACGCAGCATACTGCAACGGCTGCTTTGCTTTGAAAGCCATGGGCCTCCCAACGAACTGACAATCAGGACAGATGTTGTATTCCGCTTCAAACCTCCAGATGTACTGCCTCGTCTAGATGTCGCCCAACGGGGCTGGGTCCGTATCTAACTGTAAGAACCCAGTCTCACATGACGTGGCATGTGACAAACCAGAGCAGCATCCTTCAAAAGCCGGGATCTCACTGCATGCGACTCTTTTGCTTTGTTATCTGAGCTTCAGCTGCACCGACGTGTTGCTGTGGAAACACCAGAAGCTTGATGGTTGAGCACAGTGTGAGGAAACCTGCCCTAAGGCAGATTCAAAGCTCCTGATACGGCTAAGGTACATCTTCGTTGGTTCCTTCCTGCAAGGAAATCAGGAATCGGCAGCAATACAGCATGGGGCAGTGGAAACTGAAGAAAGCTGGGAATGTTACCTCTGGCAAGATCGCAGCTTCAGGCATTGCTGGAGGCGCTCCATTGCCAGTTTCAGCCCGCAGCAACACCGGCCAAGTACCAGATATAGACAGAACATCTCAACTTCACAATCATCCGAGGTCTCTCCGGATTGTATCAAATGCATGGCAAGGTTGCATGCATGCTGAAAAAGCCGCTGCTTTGCGGGAGACGACACTCTCACTTTGGGGCACTTCATGTCTGGGTTGTGCAGGCATGGGTCGAAAGCTCACATGTGAGCTGCAGCTCATGCTGGCTGCGCTTGCTTGGCGCAACAAGCATCTCCTCAACCTCTGGAGTCCGTGGGATGGTTCCCCAAAGCCTGGCTTAGCAGTATCTGCGCAGGCAATGCAGCGATTGCTGGAAGACTATGCAGTGCAGTCGAGAGGCTGCGGAAGAACACCTTTAAAGCGCTTGGCCTTAGCTGTCACAGTCCTCAAGCACTCAGCTCAAGGTGGCACAACGAATTAGGTGGGTCGGACAGTCGCACGTGACCAACCAAAACAGAGCACCTGCACCATTTCCAGGTTTATCCAGTCCAGGTGTGTGTACTTGACCTGGCAGGCGCATCATCATGCAGATGCAGACCATTATGGGTAGGAAACATTTGCATCAGAATGGACTCCGTTGCAGATGCCTGCTTGCCGATGTCGTCTGGGAACTCTGCTCCAGCGTGGGAGGCATGGACCATGAAAGAAATCGAGTCGCTCCTGGGCTCAAGCATCGGGACCAGGGTCACCAAAGCTGTTTGTACGACATGGCTACACACGGCACATCCAGGCTATTTTGTATCTGAAGGGCTCGACCATCACAAATTCCACCTGCAGAGTCACGGCAGTGAAAATGATCGGTCCACTCGCTGCCGGACTCCTACCAAAGCTGAAGCGAGCAGGCAAAGGCACCAAAGGAGTGAAGTGGACTCGCGGAGGATGGTAGACACGAGCGCCCACCCCGATCTTCACTTTCCTCGGCTGTGCGTGAAAGGTCAGTGGCACTTCGTGCCATGTGCAATGTGGTAGCCAGCAAGAGTAAGGCTGCACAAGCCGAAGGTCCCGTCAGCAGATCCGAACAACTTCTGGGAATGTCGACGCAAGCTCCTGCCGCCCTGGAGTCGTATATCCAACCTAGGGCACACAAATGGACAAATCGAAAAGAAGACAAGACCTGGGGTTTGATGCAGGCTAGATGGTGGCACAACTAGATGCTCTGGACGGATACAAACAAACAAGTGTGATGACAGCAAAGTTGGCCGACAAGCAGCTGCCTGAAGTCACCTGCCCAAACGGAGCTGTTGGTAAGTGCAATGTACACGAGACAACATCAGCCGCTGACCTTCTGCTACTTAGCAGCTGACACTTGACTTCAGCAAACAAGCAAGCAGACAAACAAACACTCACACGGGGCACACTACATACATACATACATACATACATACATACATACATACATACATACAGACATACAGACATACAGACATACAGACATACATACATACATTAATTAATACATCCATGCATACGTACATACGTACATACGTACATACGTAGATACGTACATATATACGTACATACGTACATACGTACATACGTACATATGTACATACGTACACACATACATCATACTGGTGGGATTCCGGAGAGAGCAAAAGGCAAGCAGAGAAGGGGGGTAAGGCGGGGTTGCAGTTGGTTGTTTCACAAGCGGCGGCTACTGCAAGACTAATCTGGACACCACTGGGGGCTGTTTTTGCTTATCCAATCCCGGCACCTCGGGGGGCTGCCGTGTACACTCTGAAGAGCCTCCTTGTTAGATGCCCACACTTCAAAACCCTCTTTTCCCATGTGCTACGGAAGCTCACACACATACAGACATACAGACACATAGATACATGCATGCATGCATGCATACATAAATGCACGCATGCATGCGTACATACATACATACATACATACATACATACATACATACATGCGTCATACATGCATACGTGCGTACCTACATACAGACATACATACATGCATACATACATACATACATACATACACACCTACTTACATCGACATTCACACATGCAATCATACATTCATACATTATATAATTATATATATATATATACATCCCTTCATCATAGTACATACAGATGTACCTACACAAATATAAACATACATAAACTCATACATACACACATACATACATACACACATACATATGTACCTACGTACGTGCGTCCGTACATAGGTACACACACACAGCTGAACCCCTACATACAGCTGCACACCACATACCTATGCACCTGAATACCTACACACCTATATACATAAACACGTGCATACATGTATTCATGTATGCATACAACATGAGTACGCAAATACATGAATACACAAACAAATACTTACATACATGCATACATTCATGCATGCATGCATGCATGCATACATACATACATACCTACATACACATGCACGCCCGCAAACATCCATCCATCCACGCATCCATCCATCCATTCATCCATCAGTCCATGCATCCATCCATCCATCCATCCATCCATCCATCCATCAATCCATGCATCCATTCATCCATCCATCCGTCCGTCCATCCATCCATCCATCCAGCCATCCATCCAGGCATTCATGCATATGTTCATTCACGCAAGCATACATGCATGGTACATGGGTTACATGAGTACACAGGTACATAGGTATCTGGGTACATCAGATGTACATAGGTACAAATATACAAACATACAAACATACGTCATACGTACATCATACATTCATAAAGGCAGGCAGCCGGGCTCGCAGGCAGGCAGGCGGACAGACAGACAGACAGAC